ATATTTTAAAATATGTTATCAAAGTAATTGTATAAATTACATATTTTTGTTTTTATTTAAAAGTTTGAGATAGTAATATGAACTATCAATTCTTGGATACTTCAAATTTGGAGCAGGAAAATTTAATCAAATCTTAACGTAAAAATGGAAGGGTGCACATGAAATAAATCATAAATTCCTAGCATATGTTGCTACATATAATTATTTTTTTTAATATAAAATAAAATTTCAAAAATAGGAACATTGGATGTCGACTAGTCGACAATTCCTACATTCTTAATTGAATTTAGTTTACATAATTTATTCATACATATAGATTAATTGTTGTTGGTTTCGATTTTTTTTAAAGATATATTGGGGTGGAGGGAGCGAAACAATATCTTCTCCACTCTATTTTTATTCAGGAGTTGATGATCGCTCGTTATTCGGCAGTTATTACGAAATCTTTTTTAATTTAATTAATTTAAAATAAAATAAAAGGTTTTTCACTTTTAGCATCTGAAGGTCTTTATGTAAAGTAATATTGCTTACTTACCAAACAACTTTGGTCATAATCCTGAAAGTTTTTGATTGAAAAGTTTGCTGTTTAGGTAGGTGGTTCTTTTTGGGAAGCCTAGATCTCAACGGGCTTAAATCAGTGTTCGATTTCTGTATACAGAGGTGCCCAGAAGGGGAGTTTATGGCGGAAGTTGCACCATCAAAAGATCTTGAGGGAGCATATTTTAGAGGTTTTTTGAATTTTTGAGGGGGGCACATTTCAACGGGTGTTACGAATTTTCGGCCTGAAAAGTTTCAGAATATAGGACAAAAGGAAACCATTGAATAGCAAGTGTAATTGTGCATGATTTATGATATTTCTAATTCTACATTCCTTTGCTCTGTTATTAAGAAAAGTGAGCAACAAAATATCTTAGGAGGGGTGGGAATAAGTTGTTGCACCATTAATCTTTGGGGGGAGGGGAGGATGGGCACCCCTGTCAGTATATGTTTTAATTTCGAACTTATTGAAAGAAATGAATAATATAATAATCGTAATCTTAAGTTGAATATTTTGGTTTTATATTTGATATATGGACCCCATGTCAAACCCATCTTCTGTCAAATCTCAGTTCAACATATTGAATTTTATTTGTTTGAGGAATTTATACATTGTCGAGATAAATCCTGCTAGAAAAAAAAATTAATGACCAATTGTTAGAATGAAACAAGATGTAACAATCACATATGACGTTTTCTTATAAAAATAAATAGTATTATGAACTGGTGGAGATAGTTTAAGAGAAGTGCAATTAGTGATTCAGATCAGCACGAGGAGAGATGTTAGTCAGAGTGTGATGGCATTGGATCGCTTGAATACATAATGATTCTTGTCTAAGAAGACAATTGCAACTCAAGATAATAGCGATTGTGGTTGGTCTACTAGAAAGAGAACTCGAATACAGCACAGTTATTGTCCTCAGCCATGGCCTTCAAGGCACCGGCCCAACTTAGTGTACACTGCTTCATGGAGTCAGTCATTTTATGTGAACCTGGGATAACTTATTTTTAGAAAACTGTATATTCATTTCATTTATGTTCAAATTTACGATTTCACAGAATACTTAAGAATACGAAAGGATCATTTCAAGCACGTTCAGTCATAAATCTAAAGGTTGATTTACGTAGACCCGTCAAAATAATAAATAATATTCCTTTCAATCAAGTTCAATGATCTGCCAGTGACTTCTGAAGAAATCATCGTACATTTGCTCCACTGCAATTTTTCGTAATTTTTACAATAGTTTGAAGATTGTATGAAAACCTTCATTGAGACGTCTACATCAATAATTAACAAATGATAGCTGTCACAACCTGCCACCGTTGACTAGAGATCTTTTGGAATTAATATTTGTTTACGTTTCCCCATACCTGTACCGCGAAGGTAAACGTAATAATAACTATAATGACCAGATTAACAATAAATGTTAGTATAGTTCAGTGTCACTGATTATATATTATAGAAAGTAAAAAAGAAAGGATGACAAATAGTTAATAAGTGCAATCAAAAAATTATTTTATTCTGTTGTATGAAATGTCGGCAAATTCAATAAACATAATTTATTTACTGCACATCCTGACAGTTTTCATCTTTACAATTTCAACAGCTGAATGTCTAAGCTATCCAGGTCCATATTTTATCGGAGCTAAAATAAATTTTAAGTATGTGAATCTAATTGAAGTATTGAAAGACATGTAGTGTAGATGGTGAATATAGCTAACCAATAATTTCAGTTTTCATTAAATTGTTATAAAATTTTTGTTTATATCAATTTAAATGGGTTTCTAGTTTTTAGAGGATAGAAATACGCGTTGCTTGAGCAAAAAAACTTTTGTTTCGCTCATGGGGAACCATTTCAAATTTTAGATAATTTTGGAAGTTATAATCATGTGCAATTGCTCCACTGAAAATTTTTCGATTCCTTCCAATTGTTTGAAAATGTTTCGAAATACTTCATTGAGATGTCTACATTAATAATGAACAAACGATAGCTGCCACCTTTGACTTGAGTTCAATCCCTAAAATAAAATAAAATTGTATTACAATTAATATATTCAATAACAGCAGGTGATATGAATTTGACAAGGGGCCAAATCTGTTTCTTGAAGACCAAAATGTAAAATTCGAGTGGAAATTTTCGATTTTTTTTTTAACCAATCAAACATGTTTAAAACAGAGGAAGGAAAAATAATGGGGCAGATAAATTGTGCTATTTGAAAATGTAATGGAAAAAATAAATGGTATTCATGACTTTTTTTAATAAATTTTAAAATTGCCGGAAGAATAGCTAGGTTTAGCAATAATTGTAAGAAATATTTTTATTTTAAAAAGGAAGTATGAAGCAAAAGCAGAAAAAAAAAATTAAAATTGCTTAAAAATGCAGTAGTGGGGTTGCTATGAATCAGAGATGGACAAATGAGTACCGAGTGCCGAGTATTTTACTCAAATTGAATCACTATTCAGAATTCAATCACTACTTCGGTTACTTGTTTGACATCAACTGAAGTAGTGATTAAATTGTTTGGTACTCAAAAAAAGGTCAGTATTTGAATAAAATACTTGGTACTCAATACTCAGAGCAGCATTTGTCCATCTCTGCTATGAACAGTAACATCCCACTGCTACAAATACCCATATTCCCCTAAAGGTAGGATAGGGTGAAAAATAATTAATTTAATAAAAAAAAAATTAAACAATTACGATATGTGTATTTTTTTAAATTATACTGCATATGCAGCTATTTTAAGAATATATTTTAACATATCTTTAAGGACTACTTAAACATTATTTTATATAGTTTATTTATTTTTCTTCCAGAATAATTACCGCTATGTTAAAATTAAATTATAAAAGATTCTTACCGAAATTTAGGTCTATGTTCGCTACTGATTCTTAATTCTTAAGTCGAAATTTATACCAGAGCATTTCGAATTATCAGTTTTTGCAATATAGGCGTGCTTAAGAAATGCGAATTAGGAATCTGGTTGATAAATAATAACTACAAAGCTATGAAAAGGCAAACTGAAACGGGAATAGGAACAGAGTAGTTATGAGATGCAAAATATTGGTCTTATGAGGAGTGAATTGGGCAATAATAGTCAATATCAAAACAGAACAAGATGGTTTGGATGCCTATACTGAAAAAAATCGTAATCGTTTGACAAAGGTTGATCATTGTATAATTCATCCTTATCTTATCTACTAGTCGGGAGATTAAAAAACGTTAGAAATAATATTCGTGGTGGACATTCTGATAGATTCGTTCATTCACATTTTGATAGAAATTTAGTTAATACGGCAGATTATCTTGAGTGTTAACTTTTTTTTTCAGAATTGTAACACATTTGAATTGGGTTAATTAAAACTAACAATCGATATTATCATTGATCATTATCGGTACTCTGATTTTTTTTATTGTTTTCATGGTCAAATATTGATAACGTGGTTGATTAGCTAATAGTTAGAGCGACAATTAAACAGGGTATACAAAAGAACTGCTCTATTTTACATTTTTATATCAATAACCATGTTGTGTTTATCAATATTTGACTTCTTCTTCGATCTTTCCTCAAAGGGCAAATTCTGGGATTAAAATTATATACGGTCTTCCTGAGATCACCGTAGAGCTTCGTCGCCAGGTCAGTGAGGTTTTACCGAATTTGCTTCCTGATGTCCTCCGCCACAGTGATATGTTACCTATTGGGGTGTTGTAATTTACTCGGGATGCCACTGGATAATTATTGAGGATAATTATCCAGAATTATTTAATAAGAATTAATTAATGTTGCGTCTATGTAGGGCCAAGGCTTCACTCCCCAAGCCGGAAGAAAACATAAGAAGCATCCTCAAGGCCGGATCTCCCCATCAGAACTCTCCTCCAAGTCGGGCAGCGACATTAGACCCCTGCTCTATGCATCTCAGTAGATTTTATAGAAATATTTAGGGTGGAGCAAGAATGGTTCTCATTGGTTGAATTTTAGTAGCATAAGGGATGACCACGCCTCCTGGCCGAAGGGCTGTTTCCTCTTTCTCAAAGGTGTTTCTGTTCTCTCTCTTACTTAGACAAGACTTCCGATTCTCTCCAAACATGCCCACATAAGACCGGTGTCGGTCCTTTGGTGTTTTATTGCCCCTTAGAAAAAGGTTGCATTGCCTAGGGGCTCTTTACTCTCCCTCAGGTAACCGGACATGTGTTAGCGATTATTATTTAGACTACATTTCTTCATTAGAAATAATTAAATATATGCCACATGTGATCCTTACAATACTTAGCATCAGGGTATGTCTGAAGAATATTCTCTGCGTTTTGGTCTCCTGTTATACAGCTACAAAGAGTGCTTTCTATAATTTTAGATTTCTCATCAATATGTACTCTTATTCTGTTGTGATCCGTTCTGATTCTAAAGAACAAAACTCTTTCCTGCTCATTTTATAGTATCAATACTTAACATTTTTGTTGCAGGAAAACAGCTGTTGCACGATGTCAGCGGTCGATTTTTACCAGGGGAGTTAACAGGTATTCTAGGACCTTCAGGGGCTGGTAAAACTACACTTCTTAATGCCATATCAGGATACAGGTAATTTCCTTTCTGGTGAATATAATTATTTGTAATTTTTGTTACAACTATTAGATAAAAATAAAGAAAGTAATAGCCTTTTTAAAGGTGAGGACCGTGCTTTGAAAGAGTAACCTGGATCTAATCAAGAAGATAGTTAGGTTATACCACAAGGAACAGGTTCCGATTTCAAGGAAACTCGCAGATAAATAGTTCACTGAGCATAGTCTGGGTTCCACAAAGGAAATTATGTAAGGAAGAGAACAACTAACCTCAGTGTAGTGACGAAAAGCGTGATTAGGTTCCTAAAACTAATTTCAGGGAGTAATTGATGAACATCTATGAGCCTAAGAGACATCGGTTTTGCTGATTTTACATTATATTAACATAACCAAACGGAATGTAGCCAGAAGATAATTTTCTTGGGACGAAAGCCCAATTAGCAAATTAAAAGTTGTTAAAAAATCAGTGAAGCCCTGGACCACATCAAACTGTCTTAATTGAGAAGAGGTCGCCGTGATCAGTATAAGAATAGAAAACACAAATTTAACTCGTGTACATCTCATAACTAAGCAGTCTTCACCAAATTGTCAATACTGCAATAGCTCACTCACTATCAATCATATTTTCCAAGGATGCTTTTATTATACTTCAAGCCTAAATAGGTTATCTCTAAAATCGGATATATCAGTAGTATTCAGCAATAACGAATCAATCATAAAAATAGTTATAATTTTTCTTAAAATCCATAGGCTATTAAATATAATAAAGAAATAAATATAATTTTTATTTTATTGTGCTTTGTTTATAATTTTTTTTATTTATTTTAATATATTTCAATTTTTATATATTTTTCATTTATTACTCTATCTATATATTTTTAATTGTCGATAATTCATTTTTTTTCTCTCTTCTAAAGAATTTATGAACCAAAAAGATAATAAATAATAAAAATAATAAATAACTGACTCATAGGCGTTGATGACCCTACGGTTTTACGTCGTAAAGCCTAAACAAACAAACTTTTCTGGAGAAATAGAGAAACGCCACAAAATATCACATATGATAATCCAGAAAAGAAGTTTAAAAGCGATTTATATATCTTAATTCATCCTTCCCCTTTAAAAAAAAAAATAAACATTTTCCCCAAACTTATGTAAGAGAAAATACACACCTTGTTCCAAACATAGATTCATCGAAATAAAAAACAAACAAGGAAAGGTTGCAGTTAGTGTCACCGATTTCAAACATTTTTTTTTTTTTTTTTAGATTCTACATCGAAAAATGTTAGAAACTTTTCACGGCGTTTGTCCCTAAGAGCTTTAGCGGCTAAGAATAAAATTATACAACTGACCTTGATATTCCTTTTATCAGAGCAACTGCCACAGACCGCTTTAATAATGTTGATGACAGACTGACTCTAAATTCAAACGCACTTACTCAGGCTCGATCGACTGCCACAAATCCGTATAATCCGCCCAGAAGACTGCTGAGGCGTTGTCCGAGCTGCTCGCTATCTCATTATTTTTACGTTATACGTTTTTGCTATCGTGTTATTTATTATTAGTTTTGTTATTTATTATTTTCTATTATTCATATACTTTGTTTCTTGCTTGTTACTATCCTACCTACACTAGGTAAGGAAAGTATTGCGATCGGGTCAAATTTCCGATATACGGTTTTTTACGGATCTATACGTTTCAGAGACCCCTGAGTTCGAAAAACACATTTTTAGCCATTGGTCTGTCTGTCTGTACCAAGATTTTCTCAGGAACTACTGAACCGATTTTGTTGCTTCTTTTTTTATTTTGTAGGGTTTTGACTACTGAAGCCTGTTACACAAATTGGATGCTCTATGCGCAATAGCTGCTGCGCTATAAATGAAAAAATTGTTTTTCGATTGACTGTAGCGCGAAAATGCCTCTAACGATTTTGATGAAACTTTCCTATAATGTTCTAAGAATTGTTCTTTCGATTTTCGTACATGTACTGAATTCCCAAAAAAATCAGGAAAACAAGTTATAAAGAAAAGAAAAATGTTTTAGGGCCTAACTCACTAAGTATGTATTCTACGGTAAAATTTATATGAAAACTTTTGAGAGTTACGTAAAACTGCTGTTTAGAGAGTTTTATTTTAAAGATAACGAAATTCCGTACAAAACTAAATAAAAATCGTTTACTTCGGACAACTATTAACGAAGTTACTGCTATTCAGTTTCGTATGTAAGAATACTGGTCTAAGCGGTGAATGAGAGAAAAAAAAGAAAAGTAAGGGAATGTAAGAAAATCTATTGCCTGGATCACAAAAGTTTTCTCTCGACTTTTAACAGAAATTAATGTTTGAAAAAATTGGGCTAAGGTAAAAAAGTTTTTGATTTATAATATTAGTATTTATTTATACTGCACTATAAATAAAGAAAAACTGTTTTTCCCTACCCCCAGAGAATTAATTTACTATACAAAATGCAATATATAAATGCATAAAGAAATATATATACAAACAATTCTAATTTCCTTTTATTGCCCAAGAGCATTTTAAGGTAGAAGGGTAAAAATGAAGAAAAACTCCTCAAACATTGTTATTTTATACGTTTGGTTCTAATTTGTTAAGATTGGGTATGGTTATGTGTCATCTAAAATATCAACTTTCTACAAAACTAAATTTTCTACAAAATTCAGGAATAATGCAACACTGACATTAGCAGAAAGGATGATGTTTGCTGGAACCGACGTTTGCTGGAAACGTAAGCTGGAACCAATCAACTTAAATGTAATTCAAAATGATATACCCCATTGGACTTTTATGCAGCCTAAATTAGATCTACTGCTCTCCAAATTTCAAAAAGAAAATAAGGAATCTGCAAAATGTAACTATTTTATAAAACAATCAATCAGCTCTCTACCAGAACATTTACTAATATTCACTGAGGGTTCTAAATCGGAACAGCAACGGCCTTCCTCACACCTGCTGCTACCTATAAATGTAAACTTACGTAAATACCCAAAAATATAAATATTAATTCACCTGTTGTAAATATGGTTGTGGTATCAGATTCTTTGGGTTTCCTTAAAGCCATGAACAACATATATCCAGACCACCTAGGAATATATAGTATTTTGGGGCTCATAAAACAGCTAATTAACATAGGAACATTCGTACATTTTTTATGGTCCTCTGGTCATGTAGGCATCGGTGGGAATGAAATGGCTGACATAATAGCAAAAGAAGCTCGTACCCTTTCAGGACGTGGTAAAGCTTTCTTACATGCGTCCGAACTACCGCGACTCCTGAAAGAAACCATACACGAAGATTGGCAGAAACCACTAGCGGATCCAGGATTTATTTTGGTGGAGGTTTCAGCCCGAAAGATTTTTTTTTCATATACATATAATGATAATTAATTAATTTTTTTTTAAATTATTTTTTTTTATTTTATTTTTTTTTATTTTATTTTTTTTTTATTTGGACAATATTCTGTCGCAGGGACAATAATTATATTGATAAATGAGCACATTCACACCGTATATACAAAAAATAAAATAAAATTAACAAAGTAAAACAATAACTAAATAATAATAAATAAAAACCATAATTAATTTTAAAAAAAAATTAAAGAAATTAACTACCTATATGAAATTGTGTTTAAGTGGTTCTTGAAGTCCTATTAAATGTAATTAAACGAACAAGAATACTGTAAAAAGATAAAGTTTTTAATATTTTTTTCTGTGAAAAATGATTATATTTTACCATTTGGGGGAGGAGGCTTCAGCCCGAAAGCTCCTCCTCCCCGTAGATCCGCCTGTGGCAGAAACTATGGGACAACAAACCACCAAATAAATTAAAGATAATAAAGAAGTAAGTGAAGCCATGGGGAGCAGTTCCAGTCGCAGTAAACGCAGAGAGGAAGAATATGTTACGCGACTAAGAATGTCATATCAGCCCTACGCACCTTCACTAAAATTACGGGGGAAAAACCGCCTTGTCAGAAGTCTGGAGAGAGAATGAAAGTGGTCCATATCTTCGAGAGTTGTGCCTTTTACATCGGAAAATTAAACAAATACCAGCAAATACATCGGCTGCTTTGGGAAATCGTAAATGAAAAAATCGTATGCAAAATCATATATTATCTCTCTGAAGAAGGAATCTTTAAAAATATCTGAACCTCACACGCAGCACACCTCACCTCTTTTTTTTTTTTTACCTAACATGCTAACTTTAAATAACTAAACTTTAATAACCGTAAAAAACTTTAACATTAACGTACATTTTACTTCTTTTTAATTTTATCTAATTCCTAACATTCACAATCAAAAGATATAATAATATATAATTTTAATTATCGGCGTTGATGACCAACAGGTTTTATGCCTTTACTATACAACAACCAATATCAATTTTTTAAGTCAAGTAAACCACATTTTATGGGCGAGGAATCGAAAACTACTTACTCATCGCGGTTTGGGTTTGTGTGCTTTCAACTTCAACGTATTTTGGAAATCCCCACAGAATATTCGCAATAGAACATGTTGTAATTAGTTTTTTCTTGCCTTTCACAAATATGGACTATTGTGTGGTTTTGATCTTCCTGCTTCAACTGTTAGCCGATATGGTCTTTAGATTCGATCGATAAAATAAGATAAGATAAACTTGTAAATAATTGATGTTGCATGAATATATGGATCCTGGTAATATATGGTGTCCTGATAATATACAGTGTCCTGATAATATTTGGTGCCCTGATTATATATGGTGTCCTGATAATGTGTGGTGTCCTGATAATATATGGTGTCCTGATAATATATGGTGTCCCATATGCAGACGTTCCGGTATTAAGGGGCGCATCGCGGCGGGGACGAGGAGATCCCGATGCTACATCGGGCAGGAGGACCTGCTTGCGCCGTACATGACGACCGGAGAGCTGATGGACTTCGCCAGCCGCCTCAAGCTCCCGCCAACCTACACCAGCAAGCAGAGGGGAATCATAGTAAGTAAACATTTGAGGGTGTTGAAATCTTACCATGTTTATTTAGTTTGGACACGCTTTATTGCTATGAAAATGCGCTATCATCATCAATAAAATTACTTAAAAGGTTATAAATGTATAAGTGATTGCTTCACGGATACTTTTATTACCTTCATAAATTTCAGAAAAACTCCTATTTTACGAGTAGATCCGAGGACATCTATCGGTGTATTAGTATAAATTAAATATAAACTCTAATAATTTAGAGATGGAGGTATACTTGACTGTAAATATTATGAGGATGACAAATGTAGTCATTGGTGTTGTTTATTACGATTACTGACGTAATAAGTCCGAAGGAATATGGTCAACATTAGAAAAATAATAGTCCGCTGTGAAGACCACTCTTTATTAAATTATTAACATCCGTCTAAAGATGTGTTGGTGTAGACTGTAGAGCCTAAACGAATATACCGATTTTAATGAAACTTGGTTAAAGTCTTCTCGATAACCTTTGAATTTATTTATATAACGTACTTTAACGAAAAGAAGCTGTAAAAAAGTTACGAGAGTGGTAAAATTATACTTCAGAATAACTTAAGAGGTATACAATTTTTTGTAATCAGGTTTTCAAAATTATTTTAATTTAATAAAAAACAAAACAAGTTTCATCAAAGCAATATTAGGAAAGGTATCACGGTTTTTAAAATTATATTTATTAAAATTTACAATTGTATTAGTTCAGAAATACAACAAGCAAAAAGATTTTTAAACGAGCAAGGAGAGATACATGCACCATCGACTTTAGTGGGGGAGGAGGACTACCCTTGGCTGAAACCTCCAAAATAGAAAAATATATTTTTTTGTGTTGGACCATATTTATTTATGTTGGTTATATAAGCTAATGATAACTATTAGCTTATTATTTAATAAATAAATAAATCAATAATAAGCTAATAGTTAAACAATCACTACACGGTTAAGTATATAGAAAGTTGAACCCTAATCATAATTGACAATTCTTCAGAAAAAACGAAAAACTGTATTTATATTCTTTCGAAAATATCTGATCAATTCAATAGTAATTAGTTAAACATCGAAACTTCACAAACGCTCCTTTTGGAAAATACTAAATGTCAAGGACCATTTCTAAACGAATAAAATGTTTTTCGAGGTTGGGTTGGCGGAGTGAAAAAAATGGTGTACGATTCTGAGAGAAAAGGTAATAAAAATTATACCATAAAAAATTTACCTTTGTTCACAAAAAAATAAATTTATTTTTAATTTTTACTTGAATAAAACGGTCAAGAAAAGTTTTAGGATTTTTTTTTTTTTTTTATAAGAATATTTAAGAAATGCAAAATTGTAAGGTCATTAAATTCCTTGAAAAAAAGTCAATTTCTGAAATATACACAAGACATTTCAATGTTTATGCGAGTTTTGGAAAAAAACTATAACTGCACTATAGGATTTAGCAGCTGTATTTACATGGGAATCGATATTTATTCCCATTTCCATAAAAATGCATCAGTATTTACATTGTAAATAAGCGACTGAAAGTTAATGCATATATAACTGATAAATGTAAGCACGTGTCGAGAAAAAATATAAAAAAATAATCTCTAAAACACCATTGTTTCTGTAATTACCGTTCAAGGACTACTTAAACATCATTTCATGTAGGTAGCTATTTTTTCTTGACTAGCCAGTTATATACGGGTGTTTTAAAGATTTAAGTTGTTTTCTTTTTTAAATATGTCATTTAAAACTATCTCATAAATATTGAATCCATTTTAAAGTATTCGTTTTATCTAATAAATTATTTAATCCCATGTTGATTTACATTAGTATTAATATAAACTAGATTTTCTAAATGAATGTAGTTTGCAACTGGGTTGCGACGCATCTAGCAAATGTGCTCTCGTTCATTTTATCTAATATTTCTTGAAAATTATTTATGTTGTGAGCAGATCGAGACCGCTGAATTAAAAAGAGAAATTAACATTACTGTTTCAGACTTTACAATTACTTCATTAATTTTAGTAGGATCATATGTAGTAGATGAATTGGTTCAGTTTTGATTACTTTTGCACAGTTTTCTTCTATTTTTTTTTTTTTTTATCCAAGATCGGGAGATCCTTCTGACTCTCCTGAGCACTTACCGTCTCTATAAAGTGGGTACCCTTAATTAAAGAAATGGCGGTAGAGCGTGATATCAGTCAAATCACCTTGCACAACCGTTGACAAAGAAACAAATAAATGATAAAGAAGTATCAAGGAAAACGCGTTTACGAATATATATGAGAAAGTAGACGACGGAATTCAATAAAATCGATATAGAATCATTATTCTATTAAACCCCACCTATCTTTCAAATTTGAACTAAATCGAATGAGCCGTTTCTAAAATATTGGTATGTCTATGAAAATACATTTATGCGTGCGCAAGCGGAACTGGTGTATGGAATTTGATAAAATTGATATGGGACCATATAGACACTAACTCGCATAACCCTGAAAATTTCAGGAAAATTGCATGAAAGGTAGTAGGTGATAGGCCCGTCAACTCAATTTGACTGACTGACAGATAGACGCCGAACCAAATTTGATCCTTGATGTCTGAAACGAAATTTGTGTTCTGAGTACACAATTTTTTCTAACATCTCGTACCCATACAATGCTTCTCTACCTTCGGTAATGAGGAAGCAAACATGTAAATACTCGAACAATAATATTTTTAGAGATAATTTTTTTTCAAACCATATAACAACATTTTGGAAAATTTAAGTTGGTTGTAATTATTAAAACCTTATGAAATGAACTACATAATTACGAAATAAACACGAATCCCTCAAAACAATTTAATTTGTTTTTCTCTTTTAATTAATTGTTCTTCATTTTGGCTACGCACTTTCCATAAAGTTTATTAGCATTAGATTTTCATTAGAAATAAAACTCAATTTAAATTATTATAAATTCCGAAAAATGAAGCGAGCCATTTTTGTTTGGATGGGCCTGAGCTACAGGATTTCAGTGGTATGGCTCAGTCTAGATCTGTTTGTTAGATTTCCCTTAAAGGTGATACTTTCACTTCCTCGTAGCTAATTATAGCTAGCCATCTTCTAATGATTTGCGCCTATAAATAGATCACTTCTTCCTCAAAGATATAGTTAGATAGCGTTTAGTTATAGATGTTGGGCAAACTGTATTTAAAATCGCATTAGATGAATGATGGCCAATAAGCTATCCTCTTAATAACAAATATTATATTGTTAGCAATTAATTAATTAAAAATTACTGCTAATCTACAATGATTAGTTTTATGATAGTAAAACAAAAAAAAAAAGTCTTCAAGGTCTAATTTTACATAAAAGTTCAAAGGTCCCTGACACCAAAATATTATCATTCCGTGTTTTTAGACATGTCTAAAAAAAAAATCAATCAAATTCCATGAAATATTATCTAAAAACGTTAGAACGTTTCTCAAACTAGGTGATATTCTAGCAAATCATTAGACACGTATAAGCATACCTTACTAATATCGAAAGATACTTACATAAGTTTCAAAAATAATTATGATTATTATTTTTCAATTTAAAGGTCTAAAGTCATGAGGTCTAATTGTAAGTAATAATATTTAAATATATTATTTTCATTTAAAATAGTTTTATGACAAAATTCCAGTAACTCGTATACGTAAAATAACATATTTTTTTAAAAAAGTAACTTCAGAACTAAGAATTGTCATTATTTTTAAAGTATTGTTTTGGCACAGGGTAGTATAGTACAAATTTAGAATAGGTATGCTAAAGGTCAGTTGCGGATCTACAGGATGAAGGCTTTTGGGTTGAAATCCCCACCAAAAATGGATTTTTTTTTTAAAGATTACTTAAATACCTTTTCGAATAAGTTCTTTTTTCTTCTTCAAGGATAATAACGGTTTTTAAAAAAGTAATAAAAAAATGTCCTAATAATAAATCCATAATCCGCTAATGCTTACGAGGAAGAGGTGTAATTAGTTGGAGATCCATACGACTGAAAAAATAACTGATTAAAGTAGGTAAACTTTAAACTAAACATCTTAAAAATAACTTTTCTAGTCTCAAAAATCTCTGATTCTGTACATTCATCCTTTTGCAATTTATAACTTGTTTTACATCTCAGTTCCTTCAAGACTAAAAACTTGTTAATTTCATTTTATTTTATTAATGATATGTATCAGTGTCAGTTTAAAACTGTTCCAAATTATCGGCCCGATTAATTACTTACACAGCTTGAAGTTAAAGAAGCTTATTGAACAAAATAATCGGTACAATCATTACATATTACTAGGTGGAAAGAGGACTATCATTAATTAACCTGCTTGTACAGTGACAAATCTACAAGTTATAAGTACTTTGGGGTCGACCGATACTGATATTAATATCGGCATATCGGCCAATATTCTTATATTTTTATTTTTTTAAATGAGAAAAAAATACATCTATATAGGCAATAAAATGTAGGTGATGTTTATGCTTTCTATAACAGTGGGTTTCTGTCAACTTTGGGAGCAGAGATTCTCCATGTGAATGAGTTAATTGAGGTGGATGGTTTGCTTATTACACTTTAATATAATTAACACAATGATGAGTTAAAAAATATCATATAATAGTCATATTTTAAGGCCGATATATCGATCCTTTTTCAATAATAAGAAGAATATTCGAAGCAAAACTATGCGAACCTCGCCGGAAAAAAAGTGAGGCCAACAGTCAATCATCGATCATTAATCGATCAATCATAAATCATTGATTGAGAAGCTTATTCAGCAATAACTATTATTCAAGTGAAACTGTAAAACAAATGGACCAAAAGAAAAATAATGCCGATATATCGGTCTTTCGAATATTTCTATCGACTCAAATTTACACATAGGTCGAAATATATAGTGAAACTATACTGTCTTTGGGATATTGGTATTGGCTCATATTTCTCTATGCAGGTCGATCTCTAGAAGATTGATTTAAACTTATTTTTTCTTTTACATAAAAAATAAACATTAACAACAATAGTATAAAAATAAACAGTCATGTCCAAAGGTCAATTGTATTCACTATGGCAGACACCCAATAATTAGCCTAAAAGCAAGACGTTACTCTAGATATTATATGCCTAGATTTATTGTAACTTGAATTAGAATCTGACGATGGAGCACATTAGATTTAAGGTAATTACAAATTTATTGTAACGACCCAATTCTGACCTGTATTGTAACATGCATAGTCCATGTTATTGCGGCCATGTATCCACGAGATCATTGGGATTGTGGTTCTGAAGATGGGAGTAAATATTCCGAAACGTTAACTTTTAACATGCAATTTGATAATACAACAAATAAATTCAATTGTTGTTAATTGCAAGTAATCATTGCCAAAAAAAATGATTTAAACGTTTATTCAGCAATGAGGAAAATACTCCAAGTAAATATCGATTAAAAAAAAGGCTTAAAGGCCGATACATCGGTATATCATTCTTTTATCAGCTAAGCTTTGTATATAGGTCGATCTCTGGCTGATTTATTGATACCTTATCAGGCAACAAGGAGAAAATTCCAAGAGAAGCTTTACCCACCTCAATTAAATAAAGCCGACTGACCGATATATCGGTGTTAAGATATCGATATCAGCTCATATTTCTAGTCAGGTCGATCCTTTGGCAATTGATTGGCATGTCCATTCACCAATAACGATTGTTTTCTAAGAAAGTCTGTTCTGACCAAAACGGATAAAATCGAAAGAGTGATATATCATTATTGGCCAATATATATATATATTGGCCTTTGACATATTGGTATTGGCTAAAATTTTACTGTTACACATTTAGTTATTAAATTTCGTTAGTAAAAATCTACAATTTCAATGCAAACTTTATACTTCAGATAAACGAGCTCCTACACCACCTCGGTCTGGAAGAATGTATCGACACAAGAACTGAATGCCTATCTGGCGGGCAGAGAAAGCGGCTTGCCATCGCCTTAGAACTAATCAGTAATCCTTCAATCATCTTCTTGGACGAACCTACAAGGTATTCTTTTGTCAATAATGCTATTCATTTTTCAACAATAACTCCCCTATTGTTATCTTCAAATCAACCATTTTACTATCTCCTTTCTCAGCGGACTAGACATTGTGGCTGCTAGTATGCTTGTCCGGCTGCTGAGCCAGCTCTCCCATACTGGAAGGACCATCGTTGTCACCATCCACCAGCCCTCCGCAACGATCTTCGCTCTCTTCGACAAGGTGTTCTTCCTGGCTGGGGGAAAGTGCGTCTACCAGGGAGGACCTGGGGCTCACCTCGTTCATTTTCTGGAGCAGAACAACTACATCTGCCCTACCCACTACAACCCTGCTGATTACCGTAAGACTATTGTTTTTTCCAATTTATAAATAATATGAATGTTTTTAATTAAATGAACTTTTACATCTTTGTTAATTTAATAAGGCTAGTTGGTAAGGCACACTTACAAAGACAAAGTGAAGATAAATGTTAAATGATGTTGGTCATACATTTGATGAGGATATGACCAAGTACATAACATTAATACATAAAATTCGAAACATATGTGAAAAACAAGAGTGTCTATCACAAAAAGAAAAAGAAATCTGGTGCGTTGCGCGTATCACACAACTTTTACTTACCACCTACTAATTATCAGAAATAAGTATTTCAGACAAAAGGATGAGAAAATAAAAATTAGAGACGGTTCTCAACAATTTTTTTAAACAATTAATTACTCTATATTTTTCACAACCGTGTAATATATTATATTTATTTTGTTTGACACTAGCCATTTCCTTTTACGACTGTATATTTCAATTATTTATTTGATAACAATAAATAATTAAGTGGTACGAAATATTTTTAGCTATCGAAATATTTTCTTTACCACTGATAAAGAAGACCGCCATATTTATTTATATTTTATTGATTATTTTTATTTTTTTAAGTACTGGTCTATAAACAAACTTTAATTTCTATATTGCTGTAACTATACGAGAAAATATTAAATAATACCTACGATAGCATTTATGAAAACAACACGTGTATATGTATATAATATTGTCGGATTCCGTATTATATTAAGCTCATGTTACGTATGGAAGCCTATTATAATCTTTTGGACGAGTTCGTATTTCTTTGGTCCCTCAATTACAACTATTCTCCGTTACGATATCTTATTTGTCCTTTAGATAATTAGCAAATGCTTTCATATTTTATATTAAGCTATTTTTTAACCCAGGTTACAATGATAAATGGTCAATTATTTCAAATTAAAAAAAATAATATTACTTAGAGGAAGAAATTTCGCAAATTAACCATTTAAACCCCGTTAAAGAACATCAATGAGGATAAAACCTATTTTATATTAAAAACTGCTTAATTTTACATTCATATATCAAATTTCATCAAAATCATTAGAGTCTTTTTCGAGAAAATCGTAAAAATGTATTAAATTTATGTTGTGAGAGGTGAGCTGCTTTTAACGAAAAAGTTTTTGTAAAACCCCAGACATATACAACCCTTAAATAGGCAATTTCACTTTCGTTTGTCGTTTCGTTTTTGAGCTAGACTGTTAACACACATACACAGAACATTTTGTGAGACTTAGTTATTTGGACCCAGGAGACCTCCTTTATTTCCTTTGCAAACTGGAATTCCAAAACTTTCACGATCGCAATACTTTCCCTTACTATACATTTCATATACTAGTTAGTGAGAGAAAAAAACAGACATTATCTTTGGTTTGATGCCTTATACTATTTTTTAAGATATTGTATGTTCTAAACTATTTAATGAAAACTTACAGAACTTCATCATAATCTTCCTCCCTGTGGAATAAGTATATACCGGTTTCCTCCCAAAACCAAATCTAGATAATGCAACACATGGTTTTCATTTGTGGTAACAGTCTTAAATTGACTCTCATATCCTTAAACGTTTCTCCTTTCCCTTTTATTGGAATTGGTGATCCTACCTCCTTATTCTCCCTGCAGTCCTGACCTTAGACATTTGGGGCCCCAGGCTATGTCCTAATATTCTCCAAAAAATTAAATGTATTTCATAAACTGTTGAATATCAAGTGAATATTCAATATATTTCTAATTCAGTTGCTTTATTAATTGGCTAAAATTATGTTTTGTTTAATTTATAACTAGTGGGGGGCACACTTGGGTGCATGTCTGGGTTGTTTTACCCTAAGTCCAGTGATGCCTCCCATTGTAACACTTATTATCTATTATTATTATATGAATAAATGCTTAAACTAATTTTTTTTTTATTTCTGTTAAGAACAGTTATCGAGATAGTGGAAGATGATAAAAAAGCCATCCAGCTGCTTAGCAATGCTATTGAAAATGGAAAAGGCAGCTGGTACTGCAAAGATGTGGCAAAAACATTAGAAAGTAAATATCTATAATTATATATAAAATATTACAACATGAACTAAGTGCGATAACTTTTGAAAATACAAGACAAATACTTGGCTATAAATAATATTTACAAATTCTAAAATTTGTAGTAAAAAAGGTGCAATTCTTTTTTTTTTTTAATTACTTATTTGTGAAATAGACAAAGCTATATCAAATTATGTATTGTATTAAACCATAAATTCAAAGGGCATGATCATCCCTTATAGCCATGAGTCTATGCATAAAAACTTGACTTATTTTAAACCAAGTCTTTCCTATTTCATAACGGTCTTTGAAAAAGAGAAAAAAAAAATAGACCAATGAAACACAAAATGGGTGCCAACTTAAAATTTAAGTTTTGTATTTTTTTCAGTTATTGGTTTTTAACTAAAAGTGTTTTATTTCAGTAAAATATTTAAAAAATAAAAACAAAATCTTGGAATAGGAATTGAAATATTATTATTATATATGGTTATATATCATGAATATATCAAAAAATAATATTTCCTTAATAGTGTTGTTTCAAACCTGATTTATCTACAAAAGCAATACTCTAAAATACTTCCAACCAAGAGTATAACTTGCCTCACTGTTACCAAATAATAAGACGATCTTTTTTATTATTGCAGACGGAGCTGGAGATAACATTAACTTCATTTTGATGGCATCGGATCCATTGATTCAGAAGAGATCAAGAGACTGCACTTCCTTTTGGATCCAGTTCACTGTGATATTGAGTAGGATCATTCTCCAGGGAAAGCGGAACAAGGTCTAGCTTAACATAAGATAAACTTGTTGAAGATTTGGAGAGTGGTGTCCGATAAGGAATTTATTCATAAAAAAATATTAGGCAATGTGTACGATACTTGAACTTCTTTTTATTCATTCAAAATAAATCAAAACATCTGATGCTTGATGGAAATCGATATTTCCATTGGAACAGACACAATTCTCCTACTGGTCTACAAATTCCCCATTTTAAAAAAACTTTCTTGTTTAATAAGCTTTCAGTACTTATTCTTAAGTTCAGTTTGTTTAAAATTTTAAATTGTAATCTCCTCAGTATACCATTATTTCCAGCAAAAATAATCATATTATTTGTCCTGTGATGCATTGTAAAAAACCACTACTTAAAAAAAATAATTATTATTTATCCTGAAATGTATCATAAAAAACTAAATAATCATTCAATACACCAATACTTTTTGTATATATCTGAATAAAAGGGACTGGGAGTGGGATAACATGTATGCAAAACACTCATTGCTCAGCAACCAAAGATTTTATTTTAACATTTATCAAAACCAAATATTACGTTTTAAAATCATCATGAGTTCGCATTCAGGTGTCCAATAAGGCCTTTTTAACTCTGTACTCTCTTCTCGCCCAGGAAAAAACACTGTACATCCTAAAATAGCGAGAACGGAGAGGGCCAAAAAAAAAAAAAAAAACAAGCGATCCTAATGGTATTAGGTAACTAATTAAATATTCTATATTATATAGGCTTTCACATTAGAATGGTTTTGATGTCCACGGTGTCTTGTGGCATAAAGGTTTTCAATTATCTTCATAAAACATAAATATCAGAATGTAGGAACATTTAATTGGTTGTTTTAGATTACAATTAGATATGTGTAAAAAGCACTGATGTACTATCACTTTGTATTTATTTTTTTGAAAAAGTACAATTTGTTTTGTATTTTTAATAAATAAAAAGAGTATTTCAGTTTATTGAAAATTAAATTTATGTATATTTAATTTATTAGAAACCATCTCAGATCACACAAAACATAATTTGTAATAATTTATTATAGTTATTTTTCTTGAAAATACTGATACATTGAGGAGATAGGATTTTACATCATTTATTCTTTTTTTTTTTTCAACTGGAGGCTACTCTATTTTATTCCGAAACAAGCCTCAATTCCCATTTAATGGAATTAAAGTTTATTTAACAAGAAAGTTTTTCTAAAAGTGATATAAAGAGACTTATAAAAATATCCCAAATAATCCATGATTTTAGAAAAATAGAACCTTACATTTAATTTAGCAGCTTTAAAGCTCCTTCAAATTGTTTTAACAAAGATAAATTCTACTTATTTTCGAAGAAAATTTTCTCTAGTATAATTTGCTGTCATTGGTACTTATCTATATTAATTTTTTTTTTTAATTATCACTCCCTACTCCAAAAAAACTTGTTAATTTAAAAAAATAAAATGAAATCAAAATTTTCTGGTTTTCAGTGCAGAATAGTAAGATGGTCTATTTGAATCTTTTCATGGCTCATGGGAATTACTATCATCTATTTAAATATTTTCCATTATTTTTAGGATACATTGTATGTATATTTATAACTATTAAAATATGCATTCCAAAATATTAAATTTGATATTAGTTAATCAGTTTTAGTTGTAGGTTAATGGTATTAAACATATCTAATCGAGATCTATTTTTTTCCCCTAAGATTATTCTAAGTTCTTATTATTTTAGACAAATACATAGCTTGTTATAACTTGATGTACTGGTATATTATATTGATATAATCATAAACTATATCATAAGTATAGGATATGAGAAGTTAGTTGGGAGTTGCTGCCATTAAAAGTACACAAAAATATTTATGATGGTATATGAATTCTGGGGTATATGAAAGGCTGTAAAATTCATATACTTTATTACACAATAATCTCCCTTAAAACTTAGGACAAAAAATTTTTTTTTTCTTTGTGCTGACATTTTTGCCTAAGACCTAAGAAATAGAAAGAAAATATAAAAAGATATTTTCCATCTTTATAAAAAGACATTATTTGTCATAAGTTTTCTTTCTGTTTCTTATTAACATCATGTTGTTATCTGGTTTTTACTTAGCCCTGAAGAAGGTGTGAAACTTAGGCTGAAACATCGGCAAAAAGAAAAGAAATAATTATGTGTACTTCTACTGATTACAACCCCAACCATCTTCTCTTATTAATAAGAATCTACAGTCAACCATTTTTCCACCTGAAAATACCTGTGTTTTTAGCAATAATGACAACAATAAACTATCGCAAAGTAATTATTTATTGTGTTCCATCACTTGGGATGTATTATAATAAACATAATTACCTAAATACAATTTTTTTTATAGAAAATAAAATTGTAAAAATGATTATTTTTCATGTAAAGTGGTCATGGAAGTGTTTTCACCTAGATCTCTATGATAGGAATTGATCTGTATTTATAAGTGACAAATTGAATGTTTCTAGACTATTGAATGACAAATTGAATGTTAAATTTACGTTTGAAATAAAGAAACCAGCTTATTGCATCAATTATTTTCATGAAAACGTAAATAAAAGGACTAGAAACATTAATTTTGTCACTTATAAACACGGATCAATTCCTTTTAAAAGCAGAACTTAGCTTAGTTTAACTGATAAAAAGTCTTATTTTAATGGTTTTATCAATGACAAACTCCATTTTAATTCGATGTTAATTTTGTCCAGTTAACAATGAAGCAATGGTTAATAACTGGAATTAAGTATTTCTTTAGTTATTATTTAATACTAAACAAAAAACAAGACATTTAAAAAAAAAAACACAAAACTAAAATTTCCTACTTTTCTGCCAAAAATTGGGCCACTTTTTATATACACTTTTTTGTAGCTCTCGAGGTGTGCTATCACTTCTATAAATATTTCCCTCTACTTACAGGACACTCTGTTTAATAAAAAAAATATGAATTGCTTTTAAAATTTGTACATTTATTTATTATTTGTATAAGTCAATATTTTAATGCTATCAGCAAGACAGAAAAAAATAATCATAAAAATAATTTTGTTCACAGACTAGTTTGAAGATTCACTTATTGCACTACAGTATTTGCGCATTCGTTATGTGCACTCTTTTCTACCAAACTGCAAATAATGGATCCGAATTCACTTCCCAGCTCAAGCTCTGCATAACTATGGTCTTATTTCATGGTTACAGTCAGCAAATGGCTCCAGTTGTTTATTGTGAGTAGTAGTTCTAAATCATAAAAATTAAAAAGGAATACATCCTCAATTATGCTTTATAGATATTTCTATTAGTAACAAAGTTTTTATGACATCCAAACTCCTCCTAAAACTATTTTTAAATGGAGATGCCAAACTATAATAATATACCAGTTATATGAACATACATGTATGTTATATATATATCTGTATGTATGTTAAATATATATATATACATACATAAATGTAGTATATATTGTGTATGACACAATAGAAGGATATACACAGTAATTATAAATGCAATAGTAATATAAATAAAATATTAGAAGATTATGAAAATTCTAGATATTGTCTGAAACCAAAGCCAGCTAAAGGTACAGGCCTGGCCAAGTCAATCTTGATATCACACTGGTCTCGCTCTTGCAGTAAATCTGTTGCAAAACTTCTCATTAACTGGATATGAATGTTTATCTGTCTTCAAAAGCTGTTACTTATTTCTTATTCTGTTGAAATAAACAAACTAAAAAACTTATTCCTTCCAATTAAAACAATTTATAAATTTCTTACTAAATATTCATGTACAAAAAGAATTTAATTTAATAAGAAAATCATCACTGCAATAGAGTCTTATTTCATGAAACAAAAATTAATAAGAGAGAAACACTTTATTTTCATATAATATAAAATATAAAAATTGCTGCCCAATCATATTGGGTTGCTATATACACAGCATACTCATTAATCCGTAGGACAATAAATGAACTTATATATAAGTCAAGATGACTATTCTTTAGGTGACAAAGATCAGTTATATAAAAACAATATTTTATGGTTATTTTTATAATCTATAAAGAAAAATCAAATATATAGAAAACTATTAAATAAATCTTTAAATGAATAATGCTATTGAAAATATTAAATTACAATAATAATTTTGTTAATCTGAGATTTTTTTTTTCCTCTTTTGCAGTTGTATGAAAAAACCCATCTTATTCTAATTTATTAATTGCTTAGATGAGCTATGTTTGTGAAATTTTAATTATTTTGTTGACCATAAATATTTGCTAAGGTCCAAAGGACCAGAACTATGAGAAGGGACAAAGGGGGCACATACTCTGGATGGAAGAATTTAATGACCAACAAATTTTAAACAAAATTTTATTTTAAATATTTATTTATTTTTAATTTTTTGATTATATTGATCTGGGACTGGATGGCCGAGCAGACTAATGCATCTGCACAGCACCACATGTTGCTCGGCGACCTGGATCAAAGATAATTAGATAAAATAACTACGAGTTCACATCCCAGTGCCCGGGAGGAGAGGGAGGGCTTTTAACTCTGGCATTAATCCCTCGCCCACACCCTCTGGCTCAGAAAACCTTCATATAGCCTAAAAAAACGTGGAAGGAGTGGACAAAAAAAAAATATTATATTTACTTTGATTCAGTCAATAAAATAAGTTAATAATATAAAGGCACAGAGTGGCCGAGCAGGCTAACGCGTGTGCACAGCACCACCGTTGCCTGGAAATCTGATATATGAGATAATTTGATTAAAATAATAAGAGTTCGCGTCCCGGTGCCAAGGGGATCTTTTATACTTAATTCATATTATAAGCTAATAATAGGAGATGATGACATTAATTTGGAAATTATATAAAATACTGTAGACTTTTATTAAGAGGAGAAAGGTTGGAAGAAGAGCATCAAAATTAAGATTACTTACAATGAAAAAAATCCTAGTTCTGGCTTTGCAGATCCATAATCAAATTTATAGTCCTTAATGTTACAATAAATGATTGAAGCTGAGATACTAGCAAAAGGAATGGAATTTATTTTTCAATTGTGTTTTAAAAATATTTTTGCTGAGGCTGACTTATAATAATTTTGAAAAGTTTTTTTGAATTTTGAAACATAATACAAAATAGGAATAACAAGAATAAAGTCTGTTGGAGATTTTTGTCTTTCATGGCAGAGAAGATCAAGATATTTGTTTTAATCCTCTGATTCCATGATGAATAATTTTGACAAAAGTAATTTAATTAACCAAACACTGGAATTTACTTTGTTCTCTAGCTAGAAAGCAATATACTCCTCCCCTCCAACGAATATGTCAAGAAAAGTCAGAAATAAAATTCCACTTTATGTTCCAAATTGTTTTAAGAGTTTAAATTTCCATGAGATGAGAAGGTAATGGTGAAAGACCGAAGCATGGCTGAAAAAGTAGAAAGCTTCAAAACTTTATATCTTATCTCAGTTATCTCCACTAATGTGACATCAAGGGTGGAAGGCCTGTAAGGCAATCCATATACCTTCAGCTGGCCTTGCATAAACTATATGCAATCCTAAAGACAGAAAACATTTTTTAACTGATTCAATGAAGTCTATTAAAGAAGAAACCATTGAGACTTATCAAATTAGGACAGTTTGGAGTAATTATTGTGACATTTAATTAAATTGTCATGTGCAAATCTTTTTTTCAGTATACGAAAACCTTAATTGTAAAAATCACTATGCAAATATAGATTAATATTACAGATCCTTTCGAAGTGAAGTTGTTGAAGAGAGAACATTTCAACCAATGGTACTCGCTACTTCCTTATTACTTTGCCCTGAAGCTTTCTAAGATACCTATTCTGGTATGTTATCAAAAATGTTTATCTAAATAATATTGTTATTACAAAAAATGTTTATTTCGACATATAACTAAAATATATAATAATAATTGCTAAATAGACTCTGCTAGTTTGGCTCCACACTTTGGCAGTCTATTACTTTTCTGGTCTTCCATGGGAACTTTATAGACTTGTCCTATTTTTTGCTGTCAGTTTGATGACTTCATTCGTTGCTATGGACTTAGGGCTCACTATTGGAGCTATCTTCAATGCCACTGTGAGTATGGTTAATATTTTCTAAAATTAGTTACTAATTAAAAATTTAGTAAAATAATTCTAGAAGAGGTTAACAAGATATTTCAAGCTTTATCTATATTCTGTGTTAATGGCTCACCTAGATTAAATAATTAAACAATGTAGCTAGCAATCACAGAGCAAAATAAAAATTGATAAAAATTAATCAACTAAAAACAATTGCAACTTGCACAGTTATGAACAGTTAATTAACAAATTTTTGGAACTGTTTTTCATCCCAAACTATATAAACAAAAATAATTTATTTTATATATTAAAAAAACTTGTATTTAGTTGTAACACAAATATTTGTATGACCTTTTGGCTCCTTGGACATTTTCAAACATTTGTTTGTCTATGTTATTACCACTTGTCTAAATTTTGGTATAATTATTTTTCAATGTCCTCTCATTTAGACAAAAAAATTGTTTTTGTCTGTCATAATTGTTATTGGTTGTTATTTTTTCTATTTAAAAACAGGAAAGGAACTTTTGTTAATATGTACATTTTCTAAATAATTTTTGAATAGATAACAAAAACTAATAACAATAATATTCATTGTTATATTATATATGTAATATTCTTAGTTTCATCATATTGATGGGTGATTCACCTTCATTTTGAAACTATACCTCTTACCTCTTATACTTTATAACTATACCTACAATCCCCTTATCAATAGGTATCTATAGCAGTGGGGCAACCCAGAACTAATCTATAATTAAAAATATGCTAAGGTTATGAGATTAAATGTTAAACATCTTTTCAGAAGAGGGAAAAGATACATTTAAACAATTTAAAATTTCAGTTTATTAGTTTTAAGTGTCGACTTTTCTTTATTAATTACTTTCTCCACACTTCTTGTCCATAGGTCTGATTTAATTAAGAAACACACACAATTTATGTTTTCATTATAATTTTTTTATTTAGACAATTCAGGGATATTTTTTCTCCCTCTTTATCATCCAAAATTATGTAAATAATATGTTATAGTTTCTATATTGAAATAGTCGTTTACATTTTTTAAATTAATAACATTTTTAATTTAATTTAAATTATTTAATTTTATTTTTTTTAACTTTTATTAAGACCATAAAACCTAATTAAATGATTTTCCTCAGTATTGGATTAGTCCTGGAACAAACTTAGTCAATGATCAAACACTGGTTCAATTAATAAGACCAAAGTATATTTAAGGTTGAGGAGGGTGAGCACTAAATTTGTTTGTTTAAATTTGATTGCATATAACTGGAATAAACTTCAGTTCTTCCTTTATTTCCATTTTTATAGTTTTTTTTTCTTTGTCCAATATTTTAACACTGTCAAAACTGATTTTATGTGTTTATTTACTTCCTATTATACACTATGACAGTACATACTAGATTATAATTATATACTATTAATAGATTATAATATATAATTAGTTAATATAATATATATAGTAGCATATATCAATTAAAATTTTCTTGCATAGACATTTTCAAAGAATCACTGCAAAACCTTTGAAAATGAATAAAACAGAAAAAAATATTGATATAATATAATCAAAATCATATAGCTTATAGCAACATATAATAGAAAGTGACTTTTTGAATACCTCAATAATATATTAAAACATTAAACCTTAAACTGTTTCCCTTTTTCCTCAGAATGGCGCAATTATCGGAGCAATGACCCTAGCTCCACTCCTAGGCTTGGCCAGCTATGGATTTGACTTCATGAGAACAGTCCCTTTCTTCATGGAGTTTATTGTACGATTGTCATTTATGAGATCAGGGGTATATGCTTTGGTTCTCATTATTTACAGCCTAGGTAGGGAACCATTGGAATGTCCTGAAAATATAGTTCACTGTCACTTCAGTGATCCCAAGGTAGCTCTTTATTTCCTTAACCTCCAGGATATTGATATCTGGAGGCCCATTGGTGATCTCATCATCAATTTATGTTTCTTCTGGTAAGACTTTGTTTATAAATATATAAATTATTTTTGTTAATTTATTATTTATAAATGCTTTAAATAATTTAATTATATTACTATATTTTCTTTAAGTATTATGTATAATATAATCTTGTATATAATAAATTTTATGTATAATCTAATATTTTAGCTCTTTATATAAATACTTGCTGGGTACATAATTTTGTTTTATGACCATGTAATTGGTTATAAAAACAATATTTTCATTTAAATTAAATTTGTCATCTTCTTATTTCTTTCTACTAAATTCTCTACCTTTTTTTTCATTCATAAACCCTCCTTATTTAACCTATTCATTTATTTCTCTATCTTCCACCTTTCATGTAAACAATAAATGTCTATTTAAGTTTGTGCCATTATGCATATATGTGTTGGTTTTCAATTCATGTACATTTTTCATACATGTATATGTATTCGTTGTTTGTTGATTAGAAAATAATTTGAATAAATTCCAGTAATCCAGACATGTACCATAGAACTGTATATTTTATTACACCTTAAGAAACAGAGTGTCACAAATTAAATATTAATTTCACATTTCATTTGGACAAGTAGTCTACAGTACATAAATACAGTACACATCAAATGATCTAAAATAGTAATCTCTGACTTTTTGATTAATTTTCATCATTATTTAAATAAAAAACTGTTATGTTCGATAGTTCTGTAACTTAAAAATTAAGTTCTCATCTTAAACTTAATTTTATTTATATGGAGTAATCCCCATGGAGACCAAGTTCCTACATAGACTGTAGTGTCAGGATGTTAATGAGCGTGTGAGTAGTAATCCAAGAACTTCCTAAATACGCACATTCATTTTTCTAACAGTCTAACCTGCCCTATTTAATCTACCAGGCTTTATCGAAGTTTAAGTCAGGGATGGCCACAAGGGGGTTTTGAATTTTCAAGAGGGCAAATTTTGATGGGGTTATGAATTTTTGGAGTGAAAAGTTTCAAACCAGGGAACAAGGGAAACATATGGACAATAAGTGTAATTGTTTCTGATCTAGGATTTTTCTAATTCTACTTTGGCATGCACTGTATTTAAGAAGAGAAGAGCAATAAAATTTCTTGAGAGTGGCATAGTTAAATCAACATCGGTGGTAGGGAGGCACTCCCGAGCCAACTATTCTTCTTAGAATTTAGCATTGAACTTCAGCAACATATTTTCAATAAAACACAGAATTCTGAAACATATTTCAAGACTGATTTCTTGAACGTTTTTTTGGATATCTTTTATTTAGGAATTTTGAAAAATAAAGCTTTTTAAATTATTTGGGTAGTTTTGGATAAAAAACACAAAAATAAGCTTGAAAACTAAAGATCATCTGAAATAATAAAAATTATAACAAAAAAAGGAAGAAGAAAATCAATACATTACATAAAAAATAGTGGCATAGTAACGGAAAGTAAGAATAAAATGAAGTGCTCGTAAAAATTAAATTGAATGCTCATTCAAAATTTCATTAATCTTAACATATTAATAAATATACTATTGTTTTGGTATTTTTTAAGGAAGCCTTTTATTTCTTTTTTACATTGTATTTACATCTTTTCACACTTATTTATTTGCCTTATGGTCAGTTCATTACCAATAATCAAATTAGTTTTTATTTATTTATTCAACCATTCAGAGAATTTTTGTCCTCCTCTGCAGCAATATTTTATTTTCCGAAAAAATTGGGTATGTCGCTGTAATTTAATAAGATTGATACAATGACTATAATCCAACTATTGTAACTACAGTTAGATAACAACCATCATATTAAATCAATAAATGTGACTTACCCAATCTTTCGGGGGAATAAAATATAGCTGAGGAGGAGGACAGAGCTTCCCTGAAATGTCCAATAAATACAAAATCAAAAACTAATTTGATTATTATTGAACTGACCAAAAGGCAAATAAATAATTGTGAGAAGATATTGAAAACAATGGTCAAAATTCAATTGAAAATTTTGTCAATTCAAGTTCTGTGTTACAGTTTTTACCATCAAGAAAATAGTTAATCAGAATATTGTCATAGATAACTTTTTCAACCACTGCTGCTAATGTTTTACCTTTCAGTCAAGTAGTCATAAAAATGTCTCATTAATAATAGCTTTCAACAAATTTTAAAGAAGAAATAGTTATCGTTTGGGTTGAGTACTAATTTTGATTTTGTGATTTTCAGGTTGACTTTTTATCTAGCATTAAAATGGAGACTGAGGAAATGATATGTCACACAGAATTCTGTAAATAATAAATTTTATCTTAGAATACATTGCTGTGATTTATAATAATGTAGATCTTAAAAAATTAGTCATGTAAATATTTAATTGTTATTTAAAATTGTTACAGTTCAGCTTATTATGGAGTGTAGTAGATGATATAGGAAAAGTAAATGAGTTCCTTTATTATAAATAAAACATATTAGCCATGTACAATAAAATATACATCAACTTAGTCGTCATATTTGCATTATTTTAGTTTAGTTTATATAATTATTTTATTCATATAAAAAGAAAATTGTTAAATATTTTTTTAAATTAAAATGTTATATTATTATTTAAGAGAAATAGTTGCTAGAAAAATAAAAGGTTTTTAAACATTTTATATTTCAGTAAGAATGAATGAAATAAACAATTTGTAAATTATTTTGAGTGTAATAATGCTGTATTTTTAATCTTAATGTAATTATTTGCATTCATAATATGATTATTTTATATAAACAATAATAGTGAAGTTTGAATAACCCCAGTCATAAAGATAATTCAATTAAGGCAATCAATGTGTATTTTTCTAAACTCAGTTAATGAAGGTCAACTATGCTCATTGTTTGAGTGCATGTTTAAGATATTGATCTTTATTCAAAATTATTAATTGAATGAAAGATGAATTTTGACCAGTTAAGTAACTAATGACTAATAATAAATAAATTTCAAATCATAAAAGGCCAACCTGAACGTTCATTGTGAACACCGCCATTTGCTGTTTATATGCCGTTACCTACCGACCCCTGGCAAAACCAAAGTTCTCAAGAACAGTCATAACATTATCCTTCCAAATATGTTTCGGCCAGTCTATCTCTCAGAAGTCAGGCTCTGCATTTTTTAGCTAAAGATAGAAATAGTAGCTTGGAAATCTTTTCATTTCAGTAAAAATATTATATTACCTCATTATAGTTTTACATAACCTAAGAAAATCCTAAGAAAGAACAAATAAGACAGTAAATAAAACAGTTAAAGAAAGTACACAAACTATCCATTTTTTTTAATTTTAAATATTATAGATAGATAGCTTTAAACAAATACAGTATTAAACAATTAATTACTTACAAATAAATTAAGTTTTTATAAGTGAGACCAAATCCAAGAAATTATCAGGAACAATATGGGAGATACTTGAATATTCAACTAAATTTATTTTTTTATTTTTTTTTAAATAACTATGATAAACAATCTCATTTTGGTTATTAATTTTTAGAAGAAGTTTGATTTAATTATTACATTTAATATTTAAACTATTAATGTTTTACCAACAAGAATACCACATCACTCCCAAAATTGCAGGAATAAAAAATATTTTTAACAAGATGTTTCTATTTTGTATATATTATGATGTTTTGGCTTTAATGAAATTTTTAAATATTCTAAAATAAAACAACAGTAATAAAAAACTTAAAAATATAGTGTACTGTTCCATGGTAAAAATATTGTTATAAATTTAGTTGTTTTCTTTTTCCCCTAATTATCACAATTGCTTTGGAGTCTGGCTCTGGCCGTGAAGCAGTGCAGTTGGATACGTGATAGTTTTCGATTTTATAAGTTCAAAGTGAAATAATTTGAGAAAAGTTGTGACTAGTGATTATCATACCTATCAAGGAACACTATATTTCAATTTGGTGATCATTTGTGAAGTGGCTGTGGAACAATAAGGTGAAAATACTTTCATCTAGATTCCTTATTCCAGACAACTGATACAAGAAGCAGGTATATAAGTAATAATTGGGGTGTACATGCAGTAACCTGTCAAAAATACATCAGATATCATATCTGTTGTGACATCCCCTCCACCTACCTCATCATCTGGTGAGCAACTCCCATTAATATAAAACATTAATAACAATATAATTTATAATAGAATGGTCCCTTCTATAACGCTAGAGGACATTATGACAGAAATGAAAATAAATACAAAAAACACTGAATCCATTGGAAATGATCTCAGTCAAATAAAACAAGCAATATCCCAAATAATTAAGGAACTTCAAGCTGGTAAAATTAAACAGGCCTTACTAGAAAAGAAAGTAGAGATGCAGGAGGAAGAAATAAATAATCTCAGACGAGAACTAATTAAAAATAATACTATCATATACAAAGTTTATGAGCCCAAAGAGAAGAGCCTAAAGATGTCTATGATACAGTAAAAACTTTATTCAATAGAACTGAGACACACTTATCTGTCAAGGATATTTCATATTGCCGGAGACTAGGGAGAGGTCAGACCCTCGAGGCCAATTTTAATTTTATTTATTAGCCATAGGAACAAAATGAATTTCTTTGAAAAGAAGGGTAAGTTCAGTGAAAGTAATTGTTCTATAGCTCATGACCGAACGTTATTGGGCAGAAAGAGAAGAAAAGATTTGTATGAAGCTTTAAAAAAGGTACAAAAAATAGATGACAAATCTGTTATTAATCAAATTTAGAGGGACCCTATATTCCCTTGATGAATTGCATTCCATTTTAAGTCCACCAGATTTTCAAAAATATACTTATGAAAATGCCGGTAAAAGAAAAGCCAAAGACAAACTAGAGTCATTTCGTTTTCGCTCCAGAACATCTTTCACTGATAATAATCCGCTCAAGATAAATAATGGTATTATAACTCAGAATGCATCGAAGGAAAACGTTTCGTCTAGTTCAAGGAATTATTTTGAGAATGCCTCACAATTACAGAAAGAACAATCGGTGGAAATTTTAGCTTATAATATTTGTGGCTTAAAAATTAAAAAGGATGATTAAATTTTTTTCAATATATTAAAAAAATAGATGTAATATGTTTATTTGAGACTTTTGTTGAGAATAAGGATCAGCCAAAGTATGAACATCTATTTAATGATTTTTATACAATATGGATCCAGTATAAGAAATGCTGCATGTGGTAGAGCCTCAGGCGGTAGTTTCTATGGTGTGAATTAAAAAGTTTTTAAAAACTAAATAAAATTTTGTGAAATCTCGATTGAACATTTAGTCATGTTAAGTTTAGATAACTATGAAGTTTATATTATGCCTATTTATTTAAACTGTAATAGCTAGAGAAGGGGTTATAATAGCTTATATGAATTCCTTTCTCAAGTACATAATTTAAATGTTTGTTAGTGTCAAGTCAACAAGTATTGTCGAAAAAATATATAGATTTTAATGCGAATATTGAATGTTTATGTAGGAATTCAAGAGTCTCTTGTTTAAATATAAATGGTAAAAAAGTATTAGAGCTCTGTAACGATTTTTAATTTGGCTATATTAAATGGCTGTATGAAAAATGATATAAAAGGAGAATATACATATTTGGGAGCCTCGGGAAATTCTGTTATAGACTATGTGCTATTGTAAATATGAAGTTGCTATCAGTAGTAAAAAATTTCACTGTTGATTATCAAATTTTTTTGGATCACATGCCGGTTATTACTTTTTTCAAAATTAAAAATAAGGTAATTGAACAGTCTACTTCATCACTTCTCCCAAAAATTAATTAACTAACTCCCCGGCGCAACAGGCCAGCATGACCCTTTGCCTCCTGAGTTATTTTTCTCCACTTTTCTCTGTTCTGTCCTATTCTAGCTTCTTCGCATCTCTCTCCACTTCATCCTTCCATCTGCTTCTCGGTCTTCCTCTTTTCCTCTTCCCACTCAAGTGTGCTTCCAATATTTTTCTCTGCACCCATTCATTCTCCATTCTGACTACATGCCCTGCCCATCTCAGCCTACTTGCCTTGATATAGTTAGTAATGTTTTGATTCTCTAGTATAGCCTTGATTTCATTGTTACTTTTGATTTTCCACTTACCATTAACACTTGTAGTACTGTAAATCATTCTTATTATTTTCCTTTCAAATACTTTTAGTTTACGGCAATCCTCTTGCGATAAACACCAGGTTTCCGCTCCATAGGTGACTACTGGTCTAATAAGTGTTTTATACAGCTTTATTTTTGTGGTTTTTGATAACAATGGAGACTTGAGAAGTTTTAGGTTTGCATAGTATGCTCTATTAAAAGCCATTATTCTGTTGTCTATTTCTCTATTGATTACATTTTCATTATTTAGGGCAGAACCCAGATACACGAATGTGGGTAGATTTTCGAAAATTAAAATTTTTTATTGTGATTTCATCACAGGATCTTCTACTTGCTGCCGAGGAGAGTTTCAGGTATTTAGTTTTGTTTTCATTGACCACAAGTAAAGTTGCCATTTTCGTACACAATCTGAAATGCCTCTTTAAGCATCTTTTCACTTTGTGCAGCTATCACTAGGTCATCAGTGTAAGCACAAATTTGCCAGGTCTTATCATCGATGGTGCCTTTTTTAGCTGCATATTTCACAGCAGCATGCAGAGCTATGTTGAATAGTGTTGCCGATAAGGCATCACCTTGACGCACTCCAGACTGTACCTCGAACAATTGACCAACTTTATTTCCAATAATAACTTTGGATGATGCATTTTTCATGGTCATGCTTATTGAATTAATTAGTTTATGTGGCACTCCACTCTTCATTAGCGTTCTTAACAGAGCTGATCTCTTGATGCTATCCAATGCCTGCTTGTAGTCAATGAATAACAAGTGCAGATCAGTGTCATACTCGTAGCATTTTTCCATCATTTGTGTTATAACAAAAATTTGATCTGTAGTACCGCGGCCAGCTCTAAAACCACACTGGTAATCATCTAAAATTTCCTCAGCATATTTTTGCAGCCTTTTCAATATAAAACTAGAAAGGAGTTTATACAAGACTCCCAATAGGGTTATTCCTCTATAATTTGTGCACTGATCCTTGTTGCCTTTTTTAAGAATAGTACATATTAATCCAATCTTCCAGTCATCCAGCATCTTTTCCTCTCTCCATACGTCGCATATCAACTCATATATTAAGGCCTTCATTTTACCACTGCAGAATTGAATTAATTCCGCAACTATCCTGTCCTCACTGGAAGCTTTACAATTTTTCATCGACCAAGTCCATGATGGCAAACTCAATATCCTCTCTGTCAGGCTCATCAGTTGCGGTTGCCACACCTGACATTCTTCTCCACTCTAAACATCCTCCACCTCCAGACCAATGTTCAGCAACTCTGAGAAGTGCTTAGTCCACCTGTTCATCACCTCTCCTTCTCCATCCAAAGCCTCTCCTGTTTTACTTTTGCAATTATTCAGCTTCGACTAATACTCTTTCCTGAACCAATTAATTTTCTTA